CCCTTCCTCCCTTCCTCCCTTCCTTCCTCCCTTCCTTCCTTCCTTCCTCCCTTCCTTCCTTCCTTCTTTCCTTCCTGTGTGTCATTGTGCGTTTGTAATAAAAGGCCACACTCAGCTACTCAAAGTCAAACAACAACATGGTAAAGTCCTCAAGGTCTCCTCACAAGCACACAACTACAAGCAAGCAAGGTAGGTGTCATGAAGCAAGCAATTCAGTCAGCAATGCTACTCCCATTTCCTTGTACACCCTTCGCACCTCTTCAGCAAAGAAGCAACAACGTAACACAAAGTAAACATTGTAACAGTAAAGGCTCAAAAAGAAAAAAATCAGGTCTCGATCTCTCATAACGCACACAGATAAACACATGCACATTCCTACGCACACTCTCCTTCACATCCTCTCACCTGCTCACATCCACGTGCATGCATGTACTCACAAACAATCACAGACACACACACACACACACAAAACACCCTCAACTCTTCTACATCCAAATGCTTTCTTTCACACAGAGATGCTGTTGCTGTCCTCGTTGCCATCAAAGCCTTCCAATTGAAGGTATTGCGCGCCAGCAGCGCCGCCATCACCATCATCATCGTCATCATCGCGATTGCCACTGCGCCCCAGACCCCGCCACGCTTCATCATCGACATCAATCCTCTCCTCATACTCAAACATGGGGTTGGCATACCGGTGGTAACGCTCGTCTCTCTCCTCGGCACTTTTCCTTGGAGTCTCCGCATTCTCCTTCTCCCTCTCCTTCTTCTCCTTCTTCTTCTTCTTCTCCTTCTTCTTCTTCATCTCCTTCTTCTTCATCTCTTCCTCCTTTTCCCCTTTCTTCTTCTGCTCCTCCCGGGCCGCTTCGATGGCGTGGCCGCGCAGTTTCTTGAGGGATGGGTTGTTTGCGAGCGTCACCAGCAACAGCCACATGTTCCTGCGCGTGCGACGCGTGCGCACGTACACTGTTGCCTCACCGCTGGGGGCCTCCTTCTTCTCCAGCGCCTCAATGTCCACCTCCGCCGCCTCGTCCACCAGTGCCGTTGTCGAGTCGTGCGTGTTGAGGTTTCCACCCAGGTCAAGCGCATCACCATGACCAACACCTTTACCAGCACTATGACCACCGTCGTCACCATCACGAGCACTATCACCACTGCCAGCACCAAGCAAGTGTGTCTGCTGCTGGCGCTGTTGTCGGTCTTCATGGCGAAGGCCAAGCAGGCACCTGAGCTTCCCACCAAGCGTGGGTGCTGGTGGGTGGTTGTTGGCTTGTATGAGGTCGGGGCGAGCGGACGCGAGGAGAAGCCAGTTGGCGGTGAGAAAGACCGGGTGGCTGTAGTACTCGTCAAACAGCATAAACGCGGTGTATGCGCCGAACGCGCCATCGTAACTCTCGCAGCCCTTGGGGAACATGATGTGGTCTGCGCGCGAGATGAGGATGACCTGGAAGAGGAACCCCATGCCGATGCGGGTGAGGAGGCCGATGATGGAGTTGAAGCAGTACAGGTACATCTCAAAGAGATCCACCAGCTTGAAGAAGCCGTGGCGCTTGATGCTGGGGCGTGTCTTGGAGGTGACGAACAGCAGCGCGATGATGACGTAGATGACAAAGTAGTTGATGGCGAGGGAGACCAGGACACCGGGCGTGTTGGACCCTTGGTTCCAGATCAGCACCTGAAATATCCACGACCAGAACCAGTCGTCGTACACGCCGGCAATGGGCAGGATGGTGCTGAAGAGGAGGAACAGCACCGTGGTGCACAGCACAACGGCCAGCATGACAAAGGCGCCCGCGTTGAGGGCGACCAGCGTGCCGACAAACTTGAGGGTGGAGCCGAGCAGCTTGGACACGACAGGGGGCCTGGTGGGGAGGGAGGAGAGGTCGCCCGCGTAGATGCGCAGCATGCGACGCCGGTACACGACCACCATGCGCAGAGACGTGGCCATGATGATCAGGGCAGCCACCACGGTGCACACGGATAGGCCAATGTGAATGGTGAGGCGGACGATGGTCTGCTCGTGCGGGCAGTGCGCGCCGTCACCAAACTGCCAGGGCGATCCGACGACAAAGGCGTCGAGCAGGTAGCGGTCGTAGTTGGGCAGGCGCGTGCATGCATCGCCTTCGCAGCAGTGGAAGCCAGACATGAGGCCCTCGATGAACTTGGACACGTATTTGAACTGCACCACGAGCGGCGGGAGCAGGGAGATGATAACGGCGTTCATGATGGTGATGGCCACCAGCAGGCGGTTTGGAACGCGGTAGTTGTTGCGGCCAAGCAGCGCGTGCACGATCGCTTTGGGTCCGGCGATGGCCTTCTCCTCTTGTTTGGTTGGCTTGTTCCCTGCAAGCAGCATGCGGACATAGTCCCTGCGATCGAGCAAGGCCAGGTCCTGCTGCGCCGGGTTCAGAGGGGCGGGCCCATGGTGGTTGAAGTGGCGCCACCAGGCGCGGGCGCGGAGGAAGATGTTGACGGCGAACCAGCATGCCAGGAGCAGCAGGCCGATGATGTGGATGAGGGTGGAAAGGATGATGGCGTTTTCGTGGCCCGAGAGGCAGTCGACCCAGGTCAGGCTGGCGACGAGAAACACGAGCGTGTACGCGAGGCCGAAGAAGTAGCACAGCAGCCGCTGGCGCGACGTGATGCACAGGAACAAGGGCAAGGTCACGAGGATCTGGATGAGGAGGAAGCCGTAGTCGATGCCGCTGGTGACGGCGCTGGACAACGTGAGGCTTGTGGCGCAGGCGACGCAGACAAAGGGGAAGGCCGATGTCTGGTTGTGCAGGAGCGCAATGGGGGCGGAGGTGACGTCGAAGAAGCCGAACATCAACGTGTATGCCTTGGCAGTTGACGTGTGCCACGGGAGGATGCGAGCGTTGAGAAGGAGCTCCAGGACGAGAAGGACACCGAAGAATATGGCTGCAACCTTGACCAGCTGATTCAGGAGGTCTCCCCAGTCCTGTGTGCACTGGCTGATGGCGTCCTTGTCCATGACTGTTTCCTCGCTCATGGAGAGGGTGTTGCGGAGAGGGCCCGTGAGGTGCTCGCAGGCGCTGGCTGGCGCATCTGCGCAGGCGCAAGGATGCAGGTACACGCTGTAGGCGATGGTGATGGGCACCCCGAACAGGGTGACGTTGACGCTCTGCACGGCGACCTCCATGTCGTGGCTGTAGCCAAAGTCGTCATACGGCCCAAAGCACACGGGCTCGAACAGGACCGCCTGCACGCGGAAGAGGGCGTCAAAGGGGACGGTGCCAAGGAGCTCGAGGAGCTCGCCGTTTGGAAACACGCCGAGACCAAGCACCACGTGCTCCTGGTAGCGGAAGGTGTACACCTCAATGTTCTGGCCAACTCGGATGAAGCCCAGGTCGAGGTATGTCTGAAACAGCATTTCTGCCAGGTCGGGCCCGAAGATCTGCAAGTACGCGGTTGAACCATCCCCGGGCGCGAAGTAATGCCGCGGCATCTGCGCCCACGGTGCCTCCCCAAACGCAGGCAGCTCCGTACTTGCATTGAACCTGGACAGGATCGTGCTGCAGTGTGGGCATGTGTATGTGCATGTGTGTGCATGTGGGTGCATGTGGGTGTGCATGTGGGTGCATGTGTGTGTGCATGTGTGTGTGTGTCGGTGAGTAGGGAGAAACAGTGGCATCGTTGAAGGCAAAAGGACAGGACAAGAGAGTGGACTGGGTAATTGGTGTGCTGGACGCTGAACAAACAAGAGCACACGTGGAGAGCATTGCACAACATGCACGTGCACGCAAACAGACGTGCTCGCACGCACATCCACCCACACTCTCAGATACTCACACACTCACACACACTCACACCCTCACACACTCACACACTCACACACACTCACACTCACACACTCACTCACTCACACACTCACTCACTCACACACACACTCACACACTCACACACCCACACACACACTCACACTCGCTCACTCACACACACTCACTCACACACACACACATACGCGCGCACACACACTCACACTCACTCACTCACTCACTCACACACACACATACGCACGCACGCAAGTAAAGACTTACGAGACGAGACACTGCAAGGCTTCGTCGATATTGTCCTTGGTCACTTGCTTGGGGCATTGCTCGGGCATGGCTGCGCTGCCGTTGAAAAAGTCAAACGTTGTGGACGTAGCTGTTGCAGCTGTCGTTGCTGGGATCATGGGTGTGGTTGATCCCGTTGCCACGCTGCCATTTGGCAGCAGCATGCTGGTGGTTGAAGCAAGTGTGTTGTTGGACAACGGAGGGATGGCTGCTGTGGTTGATGGGAACGTTCCGTTTCCATTGGGGAACATAGATGTTCCCGTGGAATTGGATGCTCCATTGAGCACCATGCTTGTCGTTGATGGAGACGTGCTCATTGCCGCTGGTTGCGGTGACGTCGTCGTTGTTGTATTAGCGGAGGAGGATGTGGCATTTGTGTCGCGCCTTGTCCGAGAAAGCGCATCGAGTTGAGCCATCTTCATGTTGGCCACCGCAGCGTCCGTCCATGGGTTTGAGGCCTTTGGAGCCTGCTGAATCGCTTCAATTGTCGACCACACCCCCATGGCAATGGCCATGAAGCGTGATTCGCCTTGTTCCACTTCCACGTTTTCAGCAACACCAACGGTGGTGGCCCCGTGTCCGTTGTTGCTCCTGAGGTCGGTGTCATCGTTGACGATCGAGCGTCGAGCCCGCCGCACTTCATCACTGTCCTTGCTGGCGTGTCGCCGTTCCAAAGCAAGCCTCACAGCCTCATCGCGTGCCGTTCCAAGAGACGCGCTGATCTCCTCCTGGATGCCGTCCCAATCATGGCGGCGGCTGCTGCCACGCCGGTCCAGCGACCTCTTGGCGACGGTGGCATTCGGCAAGGACACCAGCAGCAAGGCGACGAGGAGGAGGAGGAGAGCCAAAACACGCGCCATCTTGTTGTTGTGCGTTGTTGTGGGTGTGTTGTGCGTGGTTTGCGTGCTTGCATGCATGCACGCCCAGCTTGCTTGTTGCTTGCGAGAAATTCGGAAAATGTGGGGGTGCTCGCAACAGCACAAACCGCAGTCAAACCGCAAGCAATGATGCGAGCGCTGTTGTTGGTGTCGTCGCGCCGCAGTGCAGCCAGGGCGGTGACGCCGCAAGCAGCAGCAGCAGCAGCAGCAGCAGCAGCAGCAGCAGCAGCCGTGCATCGCAGGTGCATGTCACGCCGTGCCACGGACAGCAGAGATGAGAAGGAACCAAAGAGAAGTAGAGGGTGGATGAACCCAGACCAAGAGCAGCATCAACAGCAACCACACCACCAGCAACAACACCACCAAGATGATCATGATGATCAGCATCATGCCAGGCAAGGGGCCGCAGGCTATTACAATGATACCGAGCAGCTGAGTGACAGAGAAGTGGAGCACATGCTGCAAACATCACAACTGCCACTGTTCCTGCCGACCACAAGCAGCAGTGCACCGCCATCGAACGGGTTTCAGGTGGTGTGGAACCTGTCGCCGCTGGCGCTCTTCTCCAAGATGCACCGGGACGGGTTTGATGCCCACAACTTTGTCAAAGGTGTGGAGCTCGCGCTGCCGGCGTTTGGAAATGCCGTGCGTGACCGCGACATCCGTCAGCTGGAAGCCATCGCGGGCCCCGAGGTGGCCAACAACGTGCTCCTCACGCAGGAGATGATGCAGGCCGTGCACTTTGAGTACGACATTGCGGAAGTGCAGCAGGTGCGCCTGGACGACGCGCACGTGGCGGACTTGTGGAACGCCAACTCCGTCCTCTCCATCGACGTGTGGACCATGGTCACGGAGACGTTCAAGGTCGTGAACACCGAGGACATGCGACCCTTGCACCCGCGCATGGAGCACCCGTTTTCGAGCGTGCGCCGGTACCGCTTCACATCCACGCCGGGCGACGAGCATTCGCGCTCCTGGTTCATTGAGCACGTGCTCTCTCCCATGGGCGCTTAGCTGCTCTGTGACTGCAGATAAAAGAGAGGCGGGGCTCAGAAAAGGAAGAAACCCAGTGGTGAAGGGTGAAGGCTGTGCTGTGCTTCTCGTGTGTCGGGGGGGGGGGGGGGGGGGGAGGGAGCCGTGGTTGTATGTTGGTGTATGTTTGTGTGTGTGCGTGTGTTTGTGTGCGTGCGTGCGTGCGTGTGTGTGCGTGCGTGTGTGTGTGTGTGTGTGTGTGTGTGTGTGTGTGTGTGTGTGTGTGTGTGTGTGTGTGTGTGAGGACAATTGTGCCTCCTGTGGTGGTTGCTCTTCTCTTGAGCCTCCATGTGGTGGTGGTTGCTCTTCTCTTGAGCCTCCATGTCGTGGTTGTTGCTCTTCTCTTGAGCCTCCATGTCGTGGTTGTTGCTCTTCTCTTGAGCCTCCATGTCGTGGTTGTTGCTCTTCTCTTGAGCCTCCATGTCGTGGTTGTTGCTCTTCTCTTGAGCCTCCATGTCGTGGTTGTTGCTCTTCTCTTGAGCGGATGGCGTGTCGTTTATTATACCCCGTGCACATGCGTTCACATTAAACAAACTTGTACAAGCACCTGCAATAGCACGCATGTGCTCATCACGGCTTGCCCTGTCGGTCTACAGCGAAGAAGGAGGAGATGGGCCGCCGTTTCGTGCTGACGGCTGTTGTGACGCCTCTCTTCTTCTTCCCAGACTGTGAGCTCGCTGCTGCTGTAGCTGCTGTTGTGGTTTTGGCCTTCTTGGCTGCAGCTGTCCACAAGCACGCACGCAAGACAACCACATTGCGATAAGTGAGTGGGCATGACGACAATGCAAAAGAGACAAGTGCGCCAACCACTCCATCATGCGTGCGTGCACGAGCAACCAATACGCAAGCCCACGCCCCATGCAAAGTCACACAGCCTTTTGCGCGCGCACTCGTACTTGAGTTTTGCGCGCACACACACACACACACACACACACACACACACACACACACACACACACACACACACACACACACACACACACACACACACACACACACACACACACACACACGCACGCACACAAACACACACACACACATGTACGCTTACGCTTTGCTGGCTCGTGCTGCTCAAAGTGGGCGTTGACGTGGGCATCAGCGGTCCGCACAGGAACGGAGCTGCCGCACACAGGACACACCGTGGTCTCCACCACATCATCATCATCATCATCATCATCATCGTCGTCGTCGTCGTCGTCGGAAGCGACAGCAGCGACAGCAGTGGCACTTGCACCCTGCTTCTTGTCCCCAGTATGTGCAGCAGCAACAGCACCACCACGGCCATCATCCCTGTCATCACCGCCAGCGCCGTACCCGCTGCGCCGTGTTGCACTCGTGTCAGCCACTCCAGCGGTTGTCCTGGCAGCAGTATGTCCGCTCACTACGTCTACAACCACGCTGCTGCTGTCGTGGCGGGTGTGTTCGACTCGCAATGAATGTGCTGCCGCTTTCTTCATCATGTCCGCAATTGTCCCTCTCTTGCTCTTCTTCTTCGTCTTCTTCTCGTCTTCCTCCTC